GCCTAGTTATGAGCCACTTCCTGTTTAGTGGCGAGCCGTGGCGGCGTGCGTGTTGTACACCACAAACTGACCAAAACCATGGAAGCTGCCACCCAAAAACTGCCTTCTGTTGCCATGTAAAGTCAATCAAGTGGCCCATTTCATGGATACAGTACAGATTCAAGAGAGGAAGAAAAAGCAATGCAACAAATGTAGTGGGTTTAATACAGTATTACAACATGTAATATGCTTCACTGATTTCACACAATGTATTTTGGTCGTATACATTAATGTTCATATCAAGATGGAGACCAAACAAACCCATCAAACCCAAGCACCACATATCATTCACCCTTTCAATCGTTTACTCAGTGCCCTTTATAATAATTTATTCACAGGTAAATAAATAGCCTAAATGGACAAGAAAAATAAATTATATGACCAGATGTCAAGACCTAAGGGCTCTGTAAAAGCTTAAGTTACAAAAATTTGAAAAACTCAGTGGAAAGATTCAGCAGAATGCTTAAAACATACCTAAATAAAATAACAATAATAAAAAATACACATAAAATATTTTAGGTTTGCAAAAAGAGTAGAAGCAAATAAATTATTTTCACCAAAAAGAAGTTAAATGTAAGATTGAACAGTGGTTTGGAGATACATCCTCCCATGTTAAGTATAAAAATGAAAGTATTTTAGATCAAAATTCCTGATGTTGTAACATCAGCGTCACTGCCAAATGCTATTAGGTAATAATAGTTATTCAGCTGTGTCTTTTAAATGTTGTGCTCTTTACAGCAACTCATAGTGCCATCACAGAGCAGTAGTTGTTTGATGCTAACTCCAGCAAAGTCACAAAAAATGTGTCTGATATGAAGCTTGGTGGGGTAAAGATGTGTTGGAATCACTGTTGAGAAACCCTAAATATGTATTTTTTTAACCACAAATTGTATTTTTTTTTTAAAGAGTAGTGGAAGAAGCACTCACATCTTTTAAGTTTTGCATTTATGTGAAAGTACTCGAGTGTAACATCAGCATCAGAATACACAATGAAAACACTGGGATGAATTCACGTGTTTTTAATGTCGTAAGTGGAAAAGTCAGGTCATAATATACTGCAGAGCTCGTAAATGTCCCCTGTGTGGTTCAGTAAAGTCTTGCTTCAAGGTATTATAACACATCAAATAAATTAAACATTATTATATCAATCTGTTATTTGTGATAATTTGGTTTGTGCGGACACTGTGTGAGCTGTTGTGCTGTCGCTGGAGGCTCGTGGGCTCGGTCACATAAATGCCAAATGAGAATCCCTCGTTGACGGGTTTAAGAGTTTTGGACACAGAAGTTGTTGTCGGCTAAATGGATGTTAGCAGCATTAATATAAACGTTTAAAAAAGTATACCTTTGAGTTATAAATGAAAGATAGAAAAGGAAAGAGAGACAAAATGAGTGTGAGAATGGAAAACTAGAGTGTCTTTTGTGCCTCTCCTTTCCCTCTGCTTGCTTCGTTACAAACACAGGAACCCAACAAGATGCATTTTGTTTTTTTTCTATCACGTCTCAAACAGCAGCTTATACATACATACAGGTTCTCAGTGTCATAATGGACTGGACAGCAGTCGACATTAAAAACACATCTACAGTCATGCATTTGAGTATAAAACTTGAAGTTGTGCGTGTGTGTCTCGTTGTGCACTGAACTCAGAACGCCTTCATGTTCTGTTTGGTCCGTAGTGGTTTGTGTTGGAAAACCCAGCAGCACATCTGTGTCGTCACTGAACAGGTCGGCCACATGTTTTATGCACCACACAGGTATTTCTCTAACATCATAATTGTTTGTTTTAGAGTGTGTAACCTCCCTCTAAATGAACTATTTGCTTTTCATAACTTGTTCCACATTAAAGGATAATTGCAGCACTTTTAAACCTGGGCCATATGATCTGGATGTTTTGGGTGTAAATGCTTAAAAGAAACAAATATGTTTGGAATCAATCCACTATGAAGCGAGACAGCTTTAACTGGCAATGGCAAAACAGCTGCAGTGTAGACCGACGGGGCATCTGTCCAGGTCAAAGTGCTGGTTTTTGCTTGCTCAGATGGTTATTTTAGATGCCTGGCTACATGATGGATAGGATTCCCACAGAGACAGAAGTGTTTCAAACATTAGTCTCGCTCTGAGATGTTTAAGGAAGAAAGACAACAGTGTAAGTGGGAGTACAAGTAAAAAATAAATAACACTTTGTGCTTGTGCGTTCCCGAACGGCGGCGACAAACGGATGCACACCTCAGAAAGCTTTGACAGGCTAGCTTTAGAGGACAGGAACAAGCTGGAATTGTAGCGATAAAATGGATGAAACCACTCCTGTCCACGCAGGCCGTCATGTTTGCAGGAACAGTTTTAACCAGACAGACGACTGACAGTCCAATAGGAAAAGAAACCTGCTCTGAAACTCTTTTTTGATGCAGTGCGAGAAATCTGCTGCAGGTGAAGACAATGTTATTACCTAAAGTTATTTGATTGACTTGGAATTACACTGCAGCCATTCGCTCAGTACTTGACCAATCCAAATCCCTACTAATCATTTATTCTCAAAAGAGGTGGGGAAGCATGGCCCAGGGTTAAAAATAGTGGATTTATGGTTTTAAGATCTGACCATTGCAATGGATAAAACGAATTCATTTCTCTGCCTATCATTAAGTAAAATGTTGTGACTCTTAATGTCAGGTATTCCAGGGCCCCTCATAAGTGGTAAACAAACTGCTCTAAAAGGCCTCCACTATCCTCCACTTCCATTCCTTACTGTTTGCCAGTGTGGTGGTGAGCAAAGGGAAGAACAGCAAGAAAAGTCTCAGGGATGCACCCCTGGAGTGTGAAAGATAGAAAAGTTTCGTGTCTGTGAAGATTCTCAGTCATCCAGGTCGTTTATTCTCGTAGTTTAATCGTAACAACTGGACTTGCTCGAGTTTCTTTCCATTAACTCCTCAACATTGAAACCACATTCACACCAAGCCACAGAAGACCTGGACAAACCCCATTGTGGTAACGACGTGCATAACGAGGGGGAGGAGCAACAAACCCTAATTGAAAATCAGGTGTTAATGGCTCCTTTAGGATATAAGTATCTGGAACTCCCAACTAGTCAGTCAGACCTGATGAAGCCTCTTGGATGAGAGGTGGAACGTCAGCAAGCAAGTCCAGTTGATATGATTAATCTACCAGAATAACCATGAACTACTGTGTCCTATTTTTCCTAACAGAAAAACAGAAACATTAACAGAATGACGCCATCTTGACAAAAAAAAAAAAAAACATTCATATGTAAATTCTCTCTCCTAAAAGACCCAGCAAATAAAAACCTGTGAGAATTTCTGGATGCTTTGGGGTCAGCAGAGGAAGATGCGTTTACTTTCATGTACTACATGTTTGTCTACATGTCAGGAATCACTGCTATCATTAGTCCAACCAGCAAAATGCAAAATGAACTGCAGCTGCTTTTTGGCCCGACTAAGATAAATGCTCCCTCTTTTATAAAATAAACATGATTTATTCTGCCTATGCTTCTTTGAAGCAGCCTCAAAACTGATTGGATTGAATCTGAGTCAAAGTTCCTCTTGGATTATCAACATGTAAAGAATGATCATTTTCACAAATGTAGTCCGGAGCATCAACGTAATTCAAGTAAACTCAGGAAATGTTGGCCCGGTGCGGTGGGCAGTGGCTGCAGTACGGCTCTCTTCACCTGCTCTTGTAATCCCAATGGGAATCCAGGAATTGGAAGCCAAACTGGATTCACATCAAATAAGGAAACTATGTGCCATGCTTGACTCAGGATATAAAGTGCAGTGGAGCTTCTTCTGCATGTCATTGCTTGCATACTTGTTTATGCATCCACAGCAACGTGTCCAAGAGGAAGCTCACAGTTCTGTGAAATGATTCTTCCTCTCTGCACATGTCAGCGGCCTCAAGACATTCAGAGGATCTTTGAAGGCTTGAATGGAGCACTGATCACCTCCCTCTATAGCATGCTGGTCACCTGGTCTGAATCCACCATAAACCGTGCCTGTGCTCCATTAGCGTTGGCGTACGCCTGCAGATTCCAGCTTTCCAGTTACTGAGGAGATTATACTTGGTAAAAAAAAAATCAGCTGTCCCCTTCAGGAGCTTCACGTAGACTGTGGAGCTGGCGTGTTTCTTAGAGACCGTCTTAGCTGTCCAGTGACTTTGGCAGGTCACAGCGAGGTTTCACGGGAGAAGCTGATCGAGGGCTCCAGCTTGACTCCGTTGCTTTTCTTCTCTAAAGGGCAGTCCCCGGGACAGTCAGAGGGAAGCTAGGAGACAGACACAACATTTCATTTGTATGGCAATCAGCAATGTAACAACTCAAGCACTCATTCACAAACACATTATTCCTTTGATGATGCTAACAAGGTGCGATTTAGTGAAATTAGCTGAATTAGACACATCTTGCTTGGCTGTCAGCATCATAGCTCTAGAGGTGGAGTCCAGTCGAGATCCAGACTAAATTATCAGAAAATCTTAAATCTGTATCATGCAATAACAGTCCAAGACGTTTAGTGGCTTGCTTTGCTTTCAAGTGGCTCTGATCCATTCAGTAACAATAGACAGCGGATCACATGACTACTTGTTCATGAAAATGGTTGCTGGTAATGTTTGAGGTTCTTTCGTGACTGCTGGAAATTTGAATCTGCATCTATTTACCAACTCCATCATATAATCATAAAACAGCTGATCATGTGTTTGTTTCACCGCAGAAAAAGGAGGCAAAGCGTCCTGTAGTGCAGGTTTAAACTGTAGATTTGATTTGTTCTTGTGCAGCTTCAGTTCAGTAAGCATTCAGGATTGACAATAGTGTAATTCTTGATTCTACCACCAGATGGTGCAAAATAAAAAAAACACAAATAAAACCATACACAGTTTTAAGTGGTGAGCTGTAAAATGAGGCCTTGCTTGTGCCCCCATCATGTTGTCCAATTTGTTTTTAGAGGCAATATTTGTGGAAAAAAATCGGAACAAGCAGATCTTACAATGATCTAAAAAAAACACCCAAACGTGATTCTGTGACTCAAAATCTCAGAGCCTATAAAGAAGTGGAGGGAGAGCCTGGATGAAGAGTCAGCTGTGATTCAGCAGGTTGGTGGGAAGCTGGTAAAACGCCTTACTAATGACTCTTGAAACAGATTTAATGACCTGCCTGAAGGTTTCTCTGCAAAGCGTAAGAAAGTCAGACGAACCAAAGCATGAAACATTATCAGCTGGTGGGAAGGTTAGATGCAAAAAGAGAATATAGCTGTTCAGAGGAAAATATGTATGGAGAAATTCCAGAACAGAAACAGAAAGACACGTTATGTCCAAAGTGATGGGGGACTTTGTTCAAGGAAAAGCAGAGGAAGGTTCAAGAATCTGTCTCATCCTGAGGTCCCTTCAGGGGACGCGAGTAGGAGGAAAAACTGTGAACAAAGAGGAAGACTAAATGCTGTCGTCTCTAAAGGGCACTCCACAGGGCTCAGAGGAAAAGGGATGAATAAAAGGGCAGAGCAGCATCAGAGAAAAGAAAGATTTGGGGTTTCCAAAAACACAGAAGTGCCTCACCTGGAAAATCAGTAAAAACACAAAAGTAAAAAATACATTTTCAACCTGCAGCCCTCCCTGTTCTCAGCTCCTCCCTCCATGTGCTTCAAACATGCACAGATAGTCGAGGTAAAGGTCAACATCCTGTTATGGCTTCACCTGGGATTTTCGACCTACCAAGTGAAAAGTCACATGTCCAGCCCACCGCATTCTGTTCTCAACATGGACTTTGTTGCTACTTACACTATCTCATCTGATCAGTAAAAAGCGCTGTGATCGGGTAAAATCTGCAGCCACAGGTTATATTTGCTAGAGCCTTAACCCATAGCCAGAGAGGGTTGAAGGAGAATTCCTCTCAGACACTTAAATTACAACCTGCTGAAAGGTTAGTATGTATTTTTCCCCAGTGAATGAAAAAATAAAAGAAATAACTACTGCCTATCCCTGCTTTAACGCCTCATTTGGGGTGCGACTCTGCTGGCGTGATCATCACAGTGATTTGAACTGAGACCAGATTTTAATGTGCTGCCGGGTTAAAAACTTCTCTCAACTTTTCACTTTAAGAAACATGAAGCAACAGACCAACGATTCTGTTTGGCAATGCATGACTTTACCCCATTAACAAAGAATGAAACATAAAAATGTGAGTCCCGCCTGACTCTGTTCGTTGTTTGGTTGCCAAATAATTGTAACATATCAGGGCTTCAGACTAACTTTTTCACTGGTAGCACCGGTGGGACCAACTTTCTCATTCTCATTTTTGTCACAGGCATAACACATCACTTGTTGAATATGTGCTTATCGACAGATGCTACAATTTACAGATGTTCCCTAAACGCCCCACATTGCAGGCTGTGGTAGCTGCTGCTTGGTGGTTGTGGTGTAGACAGGTGTGGGAGTGGAAAATAGTTTTAAAATAGTTAAACTTGGGCGTTCTAAATGTCAGATTTGTCCGAGATGAAACCAAGAAAATGTACATGCTCTGTTCTGCTCATAGAAAACAACGACTGCAGGTTCCACATTTCATGAGAAGACCTCATTTTTAAGTGTAAATACCACAGCTGCTTTCCTGTGGTGAACTCAGTAGCTGCCTGCACTGGTTACACTGAAACCAAAACAGCTTTATGATCATCGTGCACTCGCATGAATGCAACCAGTTGAAATTTCGACTCGGACACTTTCAAAAAATAGTCGCAAATGTGACCAAAATGGTGGCAGTCTGGAGCCCTGCACATGAAGCTGTTGGATCAAACCTTCTTTGGGCAGTCATGACCTCTTGTTACAGTGCAACCGCTTTGCTTTTCTCTAAGCTTGTGAGGGAACATTTCTGTAAAAACTCTTCAGAGACTGAAAAACTGTACTGGATGCTCTAAAATGCTCTAAAAACACACTTACTCTGTGCAAAGTGGATAACATATTTAGACAGCTGTGACTGTTCTGGGTGAGTTCTGGGTACAAGAGGGACTTACCGCGTGCAGGTGGTTGCTTTCTGCTCCCATGTTGACATTGTGTCTTTTCAGTTCTGACTTTATTAAGGCTGAAACATAAAACAAGAAAACATTACATCTTATATTCAGTTTGACGTTCACAAATGACCGTTTACAACGACACACGCGAACACACAAGGCCTACCAGTGAGAAGTATTCCCAGGAAGATCCAGGCGCAGAGGAAAAGATTTCCAGCCAGCGGATTGTAGTCTGTGGTCAGTTTTCCCTGAATCAGAGTGAAAATGATGCCGAATATCTGCAAGTACAGACAGACACACATAAGAGGTCAGCAAATAACAGCTAATAGATGCAGATCGTTAAAAGTCAGAGAGTCACAGCAGGCTCACATCAGTGGTACAAGATACGTAAGATGCTGAACAACTAAGACTTTATATCAAATGTGCGTTTTTTTCCACATGTGGCTCACAAAATACAAAACAGAGACCACCGGGGGCAAGGTGTCTTCACAAGGATTGTCTTACTAATTCACTGTTTTTCCTTTGATAAAGTATTACACAAACTATAGGAGTTCTGCGGTACCTGAGCGAAAGCATTGAGGAGTCCAGACGATGTCCCTTCAGACTCTGGGTATGTGATCTCCACTCCAAACTCAAAGCCAAGAGGCAAGTAACCTGTCATAAAGAACCTGAAACACAGAAGTCACAGAAACAGAGTTTAATGAGTTTAAATGTGCAATTACAGGCTTTAACAAACTCCTCACAGGTACAAATCAACTTTAAGCTGTCACACGCTGTTTGTCCTTTATTGTGGCTTTTTGCACTCTGGATCATGGACTACAAACGTGTAATTATCTGAAGGTGCATTTTATTTGTGGAGACATTAACTGATGCCTTGTTTACATGTAAACAACCCCACAGTGACCGGCTTCATAACTACAGCAGGTGTGTTTCAACCTAAAACAGTGTAAAGAAGAGGCAGGGCCCACACTGTGTCTTCAGGATCTGGTTTAAATGCAGCATGGACTGTTTGTAAGAATAAAACTGTGGTAAAGGTCAGTTGGGTGAATCCCACCATGAGGGCTGAGTAAACAACAACCACAAACGTTTTGTTGGTTTGAGCTGCATTTCAATTAAAAATTAAAATATGTCTTGGTTGTAGCAGCATTTATGATTGGCTAGCAGCAGTTAAACTTGTAAAACTCTCATCAAAACAATGACCAGCAATAGATCATGTTGGGTAATTAATCATTTTCACATTCAACATCATCCCTGCTCCTCTTGAAAGAAAACATCTCATTTGTGAATGTACCCTCAATGCACAAGAATGCTAACTGTAACAGACCATGTGAGCACGGCTAAGAAGAATTATACTAGTAAAATGTGTTCAAAATATTATTATAGTTACTATAGTCTAGTGGGATTCTTACGCCATCAAAAACATAAATCAGTGTTTATGACCAGTTATGAAATCTGTCATGTACTTCAGCAGTCGTTTGGTTAATTGTCTGCAAATAGAAGCTGTACTATACAAGCACTCAGGGTTTTACTGAGAACATACTCGCATGTCTCTCCATGTAAAGGTCAGCGGTTTTAATGGCCATGCAGTGTGAGGGAGGGAACATGTAACGCAAGCTGTGCAGAGTGATTAGTCTTTATGGAGCCTCTGATGTAACCACAGTGACGTGATGTGTTGGTGCCCCTGAACCCCCCACCCACAGCTGTCAAGGTCAAACCCTGGGACAAGAGGAGACCGTTCAGCCTGGAAACATAGATCCCGTCTTACGGTACTTTCTTAGGGCTACATGGACAAAAATCAGTGTGGTTCAGCTACCAGATGTTTCAACTGCAATAAGAAGTGCCAGATTATCAGAACGGTTTTTCTGTGCTTGAAAAAGTTGTTTTGTCATTAAATACGGTTTACTTTGACAAATACAAGTCTGTATTGAAATA